CCTAAAAGAGTGGGTAGAATCCAAAAATGCAAAAAAATACAGGGTGTTCCATTGAAAATAAGAAAGTTGGTATCGTCCCAAGGAAAACCAAACACCCTGTATAAATGAAAATATAATATTTTAAAATTATTTTTTACTTCGTGAATATTTGTTTCTTACAAATTTTTTGTGACTCCAGTAGTTTCTGAGATAAGTATATGGGTCACCTTACGTGGACCACCCTGTACATACACTGTTCAAAAGTTCATGACCATTTTAACACCAAATTAACACCAAACATGGTCTATATCGTTACAAACCAAAATGGTGTTAAATAAGGTTCGTTGGTCCGGTGTAAATTCAAATACTAAAATGGTGTTAACTTAACTTTCACAAAGTATTAAAATAAATTTTACTTGGTGTAAATTGAACTCCTTTTCAGTGTTAAATATTATGTGTTTGTGGACAAATTAAATCATACTACACAGAAAAAAGGAAAAAAAAAAGGAAACAGGAAGTTCCTTGACGCATTACTAGTATATTACCAGTGGTATTATTCCAGAAAATGGAACCTTCAACTCGCTAGAGATAATGTTTTTAGTGCGTTGCACTAACAGCTGTTTCCACCTATTTAAGGTCTCTTTAGTATCGAACAACTTGTAGTGTCACACCAAAGCAAAGGATTACCTGAGTTTATATATTCTTCATGTAAGTCAACAGAGGCGAGATTTAAGAACATTACGTGATCCACACCGCCTTTGCCGCGATCAGTACACATTTTCAACCATAATTCATGGTGTTATATTAACACCACTTGGTGTTGGATTTTGACACCAATTTAAGATTACTTTTTACACCACAGATATTTTAAACAGTGTACTTATGCTTATATATATTTCGTTTAAAGTATTATATTGGTCTGATATGCGCTAGTCCTATTAATAATTAATAAAAACCTGATTTTGCAAAACGGTTTCAAAGTTTAAAATGTTAAACTGTTTTAAATTATAACAAGTATGATTAAAGTTACCGCAATGCATTTATAAAAATGAATAATAAGGCAAATAGCATATTATTAAAAATTTATTTTAATCTTCCTGTAAAACTAATGGAATGCAAATAGTTTGCTTATTAAATGCGAAACACGCCTTGCGAATACTTTATTTGGTTGCATTATAAAGGCTAAAAATATTAACGTCAAAAATATGCAGCGGAAAATTCATTGCAGCTGGAACTTATTAGATAAAATTACGGCGCTTTGCTGAATATTTACCGAAATCCTTTTAGTTTTAATTTAGTTGATAAAATATTAAATTAAATTTAGATTTTGAACAACAATATAAAATGTTTTAGAGTGCCACAGAGATCCATTCCATTAGTGAGGAGCATAAGTCAAATCTGGCAGATATCATGAATAAATTCAAATTTTCGCTACATAAACCTGAATTTAGTGAATAGATTTATTGCACAATTGTCCCTCTTGTCACCTATTTCATTTTTTTAGCCAAATACACTCTTTTTTGACCATATTTGCACAATGGTAAACCAACAAATACGTTGTAAAGCATGAAATAAATTAATATATTGACGGTTTCAGTTTTTGTTTTTTTATTATTTGTTTTAATATGGTTTAAATTTATATTGTTTAAAAAAATTAATATTTAAAAATTCGAACAAAAGTACAATAAACTAAAAAAAAAGTAAATAAACAAATTGTTCAGCAATAATCAAAACATCTTAATTTTGATCTTTTTAAATTAAATGCTCTAAATAACTATTGTAAGCAATAGTATAGTCTATTCTCAAATTCCCTTCGAACATTTTGAAATGTTTTTCATGGAATAGCCCTGCATTTTTGAACTATTCGTTGTCGCAGATCTTCAATAGTTTTGTAGACCACAGATGACACAGATGACCCCATAAGAAAAAGTCTAATGTCTAATGTCTAATGTCATCTTGTTGAAAATGTTATAAATTTGTATTCAAAGCTAGTTCTCTCATCTTTGATTTTTAAGATTATTTATTATCAGTGGCTGTATTGTTTCATCCACGATACACAAAACGAAAACTTTTTACTGTAGTTATTGAACAGCAATAACTATTTACAAGGTATTTATGGGTATATTTCAAAAAGTTGGCCACTTGCTGCCCTGAGGTTAGAACTAAATATTTTCGTAACTAAAATGCAATGTGAAGAAGAGATCTGATAAAACAATCCTTAGGCTCTTTAAATTATGTACAAAATCTCCCAATAAGGTATTGAAAATATATTAAAATTATAGTACAGGGTGTCCAGAACGGGTAGGGGGTATTTATAAATTCAATCAAAATAAAACTACAAGTCAGAAAGAAATATTTTTTTTTGAATTTTTAGACAAAGTTTTGGAAAATTAAGGTATCCACATAAAAATAATCAAGTGATGAAGGAATCATTGGGCCTTACATTTTTGAAAACCGACGAGGGCTAGCACTAACGGTAAACAGGTTAACCATTCACTGCAGTGAACGGTATTGCGACATGTTAAAGAAACTTTTTGATTCCACAACTGCAGAAGTTTGAAGGTTTTAATGTGGAAACATGGTTTCAACAAGAGGGAGCCCCTTGCCACCCCTTAAATCAGTCACTTTTCAATCAAATTATCCCGAAAAAAGTGATCTCTCGACGTGGCACCATTAACTGGCTTCCGAGAAGCGCCGATCTTACACCATTTTATTATTTTTTTATGAGGAAACCTTAAAGATAAAGTTTATAAAAACAGACCAGGAATTTTCCTGCACAAGATCCGCACTGAAATGGCCGCTGTTTACAGAGAGATGTGTAGAAGCGCAATACTGTATTTCCGTTTTTGGTTAGAGGAATGCCAGCAGCGCGAGGGTCAACATTTGGACAACAAAATCTTTAGCACTTAATTTTCCAAAACTTTGTCTAAAAATTAAAAAAAAAATTTTTTTTTCTGACTTGTACTTTTATTTTTATTTAACTTACAAATACCCCCTACCCTTTCTGGACACCCTGTATTAAAATATAGTATTAAAATATAGTATATGCAGTCATAAGTATAGTATTTTTTATTTAATTTGTAGAAGTGTATACAGTAAATAACTAATTTTTGTTTACAAAAGAAACTAAAACATTTTTGTAACAAGCATTTTAGTTGATGTCCCTTAATTTAAAATGTCCAATCCGTGACGCCATTTTCACACAATATAAAATTTATTTAATATAATCGAATATAATATTAATATTCACAACTTGGCAACGCTTTCTTAACAAGGTAAAATATATATTGTAGTTTGCAGTACGTGTCAAAGTTAAACAAGGTGAGGAAATTATTTTTTCTACTCCCACCTTTAAAACGCCCTTTATCGTACATGTTTCCATGACACTAAGTGACCTTTTAAATACACATTGACAAGTTGTGGCTTTACGGCGCTTTAGTCACGGGCTGAAGTTAGCAACAGGTTTTTAGTCACGGGCTGAAGTTAGTTTTAAGTTAGTTGACAGTTGTCAAATGTCATACAATCGTTAAAATAAAGTGCCTTTCTTGTAAAATAATACTAAATGTGAAAATTATTTTATTATCTCAATAAAAAAATACAAAAATATTAAATAGTTTCTCAACGCCAATATTTAAAAAGTTTATATGAACATTGTAATGACCTTTTAATTTCGCCGGCAGTAAACTATAACTTAAATTCGGGCACGGACTCTACTGTAAAGTCCTCATAAAACATTTCCTTTACTTTCGCTGTGAAAAACTGTCAATTTTCAAGATACATTTCGATTTATAACCTATATAATTGTGTTTATAACATGTAAAAATGTGACATTTGACAGTTCCCCTGTTGTTTCATAGATGGCGCTCTATACAAATTTTTGATTTAAATCATTTAAGTATTTGTCGTAGAAAAAGTATAGTATACACCTCGTTTATAAACTTTTCTATACACTCATTAACTTAAGCATTCGCTCGCAAGCTTGCTCGTGCCTAAATTAAATTCGTGTATAAAATGGCGTTTATCAAACATGATACATAATATACTATTAGCACCCTTATAAACTTTTATAAAAGTTTGTCGGTATTTTTTACTACTACCAAGTATATGATCATTTTTAAATTAGAAAATAGAATTTCCCTACTGCATTTTATCTGAGATCTCTCCTATGGTTTTAACCTAACTTTTTAATAATCCGACATCTGTCAGATGGCTTTAACCTCACTTTTTTCTAATTCTGACTTATAGCCATGCTTTAAGATTTAAATTATCATTCGATTATCCTGCTTTGCTGTAATTTTCCAAAAGGTCGCGAATATTTTATTTATTCGTTTGCATACGTGGATAGTATTCGTATTCCAATGCCAGACACGTTGAACGGCGAATAAATGGCAAAATCTGACAGCAGGCACGTCTGTTGAAATTGAGAGCGTCTCCTTTGAATACCAATTCCACGGTTGCGGCTCTAAGAATTTGGATAATTATACGTATATTCAATACTATTTGTAAAACGTTTTATATGCCATGAATATCTAACGAGGTTTTATTCGGTTTTTATACGTTTTTTGCCTGCTTATAAGCGCACAAATCCACTTTAACGTGGCACTTTACACGGAAACTTCTTTTACAAAAAGTAATGCGTACACAGTAAAAAATTATTTGTTAATTTCAACCAAATATTAACTAATTGAATAAGAAGTTGGTAATTATAACAGACATTTTGTAGATTTAATAACAAAATTCCATGTCAATAATTCAACCATAATTCTTGTAATTTTCAAAAAGGACCTTATTTTTGCAAACCTTTTTGTAGACCCAGTAGCAAAAGTATTTGTTGGAATTTGGGAACTTAAATGAAATATTGCTTTATTAATCAATTTCCTAAACAAAAAAATTAACACATACCTACATAAATGAACACAAAAATAACATACACACAATTAAATAACACACCATTCTGAAATCATCAAACTTTAAAGAAATTTGGTACAATATAACTATCAGTATTTCGTAACTTTAACCCACTACACTGTATCCCCTTGCCGACAAATGAGGCATAATAGACAATTGCGAACCCTCAGTTGAAGCGATCTTGAGCCTGATAATTTATTTACTCCTTTTTCTAACAGTCGATTGAGCCTGAACTCTAATAAATATTACATGAAAAATTATGTAACATTAAACTTAAATTCAACAGTAAATAATTACAAAAACTTTATTTGGATGATGGACGCCTAATGCAGATGGAATACTTGACGGATAAAGTTAAATTTAAAATACAAAAATAGAGACTAAGACTCAATCTACTTTTATCCAACAAACAAAGAAACAAACTAAAAATGAAAACGAGGAACACATACGACAGCTGAGCTCTAGTAAGATGTATTATTTATCTAATGGTATTTATATATTTATTGATGTCCTTTTCTTTTGGAGTTCTCTTTCAGAAAAATAAGTTAAATGTCGTTTGGGTTGCGGTTATTGTTGTTGCTTTATTCAAATAATAGTTATTTATGTCATTAGGTTAAGAAGTAAGGCTTTTTGTGCTAAGCTCAAGGTTTGAGCGATGCACAAAAAGGCACTTCTTGGCCGAATGGCATACAACATTTTATCTTCAAAGCACTTTATATAGGTCAATTTAATTCAACATCAAAGCGGCCTAACCTCACTTTTTTAGAATCTCATTTATTTATTAGCTAAAGATTACATTAAATGTACAATAATTATTATTGCTTTTAGAAGCAGTAATAGTTTGACAATACCTAGCAACATGATTTAAGTAGAAATGGATTTTTGCTATTACATTGAATTCAATTAATTGTTTTATAAATAGGTAGGTATCTAGTTTTAATTTGTTTGGATTTTTATTTAAAAAATAGCTAGTTTGAAAAGTTTAAGCTTTGTTTAACATTTAATTTCACTGAAAACTTAAAGCAAATTAAAACTTAAAGATAATTTAAATCGTAGAAAAAGAATCGTGCGTTTTCTTGGTTGCCTAACCTTACTTTAACAATAATTTAATGAAAAATATTAAACATTAACAGTAAAACAAACAAATTAGTGCTTATTATAAATAAATTAAACGAGTTTAGTACGTTAATTTCTTAGAAAAGGATTAATTTGTCAAAACAATACCCCTAGCGAGAAAAAATCGAACTAATTACTTGCCTCATAAAATTTTTTATCAGCCTAGGCCATAACAAGGTATTTCTTTATCAAATGTTGACAACAATAAAGTTTAAATTATAGACCGCGTGGAGATAAATATCATTATTGTTTGTTATAAATTTTAAATGTTTTATACGTTTAACTCTCTCCCATAATCCCTTATTTTGGAAGGTTTTATGAGAGATATTTACTGTATTTATTATTTCCCTTTTAATACTTTCCCCATGAATATAACACCTCAAAAGTAACTTGGGTTACTAACTTAATGAGCTTTATTACCGTAGTAAGTATTTATTTTATTTATTTGTGCTAATTTAATATAACATTTTCCGTGCTTATATTTCATTTATCACTTGGGGTGTAACTTACAGATTCTTTGCTGAGGTTTGTACGTTTAAAAACGTTTGAAATTAACAAAATGCTTACAAAATTGCATATTATTTCAGAAAAATATTTTGCCTTGTTAAACTAATTACGAACCCGGTTTTCTACAAAAAATCATGTTAAAATTAAAAAACAACAAACTTATGTTAACAAATCAGATTTTTATAACAGTGAAACAATTTTTTTCTCAAGACCCAAGATTTCATTCGCCTGAAAATAAACTTGTCCTACCTCTTTTCCCAAACGATTTTTCCACCTGGCCCACTTGCTAAATCCAGGTCTCCAATATTCCACCATGTACTCTTCGGCGTACTCTTGACCCTGACCGTTGCCATAGCGACCCTGCGTGCGGCACCCCGTGATCACGGTCATTTCCTCCAGGCTTATCTCGAGGAACTCTTTCGCGTCTCTGGAAACCATCTGCCTTGGGCACCACGCTCCTCCGTGTTTGTCATTACGAAGTCTGCAAAAAAAATGTTTTTATAATTGCTTTTACTTGGTTTATAAAGCTCTCCTAAGAGAGAAAAAAAGGCATTATATCTTGAATTTTATTGTGAGTGAATTGAATGAGCTTTTAACACATGTTTTTTCACAAAAGGTCATTTGTCACAAAAACGATTCAGTCTCTGCAGCAATCTATCGTAAAATTTATAAATGGCCTCATTGTAACCACTGAATTTGTGCATTTTTAATAAAAATAATAATGAAAAAGGTTCAAAAGTTTCTTTCATTAAAACTAAGTAGCAACATCATATCCCACGGTGCCTTGTTAAAATTTATTTTAAAAAGAGAGTATGTAAAACTCTCTTCTATCAATTACTAAAGCTTTGCAAAAATAGGTTATCGATTATTTTTTAATTAAAGACATGCTGCATAGAACATTTTCTTAAAAGATTTATTTGTATTTTACAATTAATTATTAAATTATTTTTGTGTACGACCTTGCTATTTTATTTATACAGGGCTATCAATTAAAAACTGGCCACCTTTATTAACTCTTTTGAAACGTTTCAAGAGTTGTCTGCCTACATTCTTGAATTATTCTTTGTTTGAGTTTTCGAATATTCTCAGGTGTTTTGTAGGCTGGTGTTTTTAAATGACACCAAAAAAAATATAAAGTGGCGTTAAATCTGGAGATCTTGCCGGCCATTCTTGAGCACCAATCCATTTCTCGGAAAACTTTTGGTACTGGTAAAGCATAGTGTTGAAAGTACAAATGTCCTTCATTGAGGAACATGTTTTCTTGTTCGTTCATCTGACTTTCTAATAACTAGGTACACGGAAAAAAATCTCTTACTAGGTTTAAGAATAGTTCTATACTTCATGTTAGGAAGTTGATTTAAGTATATTTATTATTTCTATGAGATTAGCGTACATTTAAACTAACTAATGGGATATACTTAATTTTTAAGAAAAACTGTTACTTGATTTAAGATGAGTATTCTTGGATTGAGTTTAAAGGTATTTTATTTTAAAGAAAATTGGTATACTTAAATCAAATATACAATAATGCTTAGATGAAAGAGCTCTAGTTTTTTACTCAAAGCGGAATATTGCCACTTATTTTAAGTATTCTGTATATTTGTACGAAATTTCGGTATACTTTATTTAAATATATGTATATTTAATACAAGAACGCTTATACTTCAATTTAAGTATAAGACCTCTAGAACAAAGAATACACTATACTGTATTTAAGTATAGCTATTATTAAAACAAATACCTAATTCTTCGCTTAAGTAAATACCGTCCACCCTCTAAGACCGCTTCGCTAAAAGAAAAGACGCAGTTTCTGTGTTCAGTTCTGTGACAGAACTTCTGTCCTGTGTTCTATGGTGGTAGCGTGTGTACGTGTCGGCGCCGGCAGTTCGTTTTTTCCTTTTTCGGTCTGGATGTTATTTTTAATAAAAAATAATGGAGAAGAAACTTAAAAATTGGGGCTTAGAATGTTTACTAGACACATTTTTGGGTAAGTAAATAATATTTCATTAATTTAAAGTAATTAACTAGGCATGATCGTAAAAATGTAGTGTAAAATGGATAGGTATACTGTAGTGTAAAATGGATAGCATACGACAGGTAATAGACAATAGCACATAAACAGCAGAAAGGCTATAGCCTCCAATTCAGCTACATTATTTTTGTTTTAGAAAACGAGATAGATCTCGATATTATGGTAAACTTAAGCGAGGAGAATTTAAAGGAATTAATTCCCAAAATAGGATTGAGGATCAAGTGTAGAGAAAAAATTGAAGAATTAACACCAAACCATCTACGATGATAATGGTAGCCTTCTTAGAGACTCATTTTACAAATTATTTAGTTGGAGATATATTTTACTGACAATAAAAATACCTACTTAAAAAAATAATAACTATTGTGATTAAAAACCTTACCTTTACATATACCTAGCACCAAAAATGTGATACCTAGGTAACGAATTTATATAAATTGACAGTACTTTTTCTAATACCTCTAAGACTGTTAGGTAATAAACCTATTGTGATATCAGTGCCTATTATACTTATTAGTACTTTAGTACATTAAAATAATTAAAATAATATGCCAAAAATACTGTTAAATTACTGTCATAACGATTATATTTTCACTTTCACTTGTATTTTCCGTAGTGGTAGGATAATTAATACAAATATTTTTCAGGGTCACGAGTGTTTTTTTTGTAAAAATTATTCCGAGTCGCTAGACGAGGGAATTTTTTTTTCTAATCAACCACTTTCTTTAAGAATAGTGTAAAGTTATTTTAAATATATACTATACTTTTATCAAATATAAAAAAAGGAAAAGTAAGAATACAAGCATTTTATGCAAGTAAAGAGTGTACTTACAATAAGTATAAATAAATAAATTTTAAAGAAAGTATATTCTTAAAACAAGAATACTGTAAAGATTTTACAAAGAAACTATACTTTGATGAAGTACATACTAACGTTACAACAAGAATACCGTAGTCTTCATTGAAGACAAATTTGTATACTTAACTCAAAATTAGTGTGTTTCTTATTTTTAGTATAGCAGTAATCTTAGATTAAACCGAAGCTATCTTTATTTTATAAGAATATGAGGATACTTGAAACAAGTATAAATTTACTTGCGGAATAGGGAAACTAAGCTATACTTGGATAGAGTTGAATTTTCTTGGAATCAGTATAGATTTTTTTCCGTGTAATAAGTGACATTTTAAAAATATCAAGATATAATTGTCCAGTCAAGTTTTCTTCGATAAAAAGCGTTCCAATTATTTCGTTGCCAGGAATAGCAGCACATACATTGATTTTTTAAGGATACTGAGTATGATCCTCTCGAAAAACTCAATTCATATTTAAAGTAGTATTCTATTTATTTTTTACTTTTACAAGCAGAATTTACATTGATATTAAAATTAAAGGAAAACGCTAACAGTTTATTCGAATTTGAAGTCATTGTTAAATTCGTTGGTGCATTGGAACCAGACGCTCCCATATCGGTATAGCTGCTGATAGTGCTGGAAGACGCCGACGCATTAGAACCTTGTATTTTTTCTGCAATTTGTATTTTGTTATGCACCGATTCTTCTAGGTATCCTTCTGATACCCTCCGTGACGCTTCAAAGTCATGTTAGCCCCTGCATTGGCCAAAAGAGTCGCCGAAGACCTTCTCAGGCAGTGACCGGTATAGAGCGCTGGTTCCTCCAATTTCAAAAACATTGCAATTCTTGAAGGTATCTTCGACAACGTATTTATTCCCACACACTGCCTGGTACACCTCCAAATTTTGTAAAAAAAAACATAAAAGCGGCTAGAACTAGTATTATTTGGTCTCAAAGACATGTATTTTTTATACAAATTGATCGGGTTGACTGGAAATCCTTCTTCAAGGATGGTGAAACTTTTTCTTGGTTTTAGTGTCTGGCAAAACTACGTGAAAATTTTTCCCTTTGTCTTGAATATTTTCTATTTTCAAATTGACCAATTCATCGCATCTACATTGTAGATTCTACAAGCACCGCTAATCCCCATTATCAAAGCCACTTTCATCAACAGGTACGTCGGGAGCTTCGTTCAAAAACTTCTCTATTTAAGCTCGTTCTAATGTCTTGGACTTTGGTTTGTATCCCTGTGATTTGCTTTTCAAAAATCTTGACATTTATAGGGTACTGAGACGCAAGTAGCTTTGATTTGATCACAAAGCTTATTAATTATTATCTCATAAAAAACGATTTCTTCCACTTGTTGGATAAAACATTGTATGCCACTCGTGTGTTATGTTTCCTAAGTCACTTGAGAATTTATATAAATCTTTCTCGCGTGACTTATTTTCAACATAACACACTAGTACCATAAATAACTATTATTTACAAATCCATTAAGAAAAAGTAGATTAATCGCTGAAACAAATATTTTGTTTTAAATTGGATTTGAATTTTATTTTAAGGAAAAACGGAACCAACATAAATATTTGTTAAAGCAGCTACTTTTGGAATGGGTGTGGAATCTACAGCAATATGACCAAATACAACAATTTGTGCAGCTCCATCCAGTACATTCAATCTTGTGTGTTTTATGTTGCAAAATGAACCAGTTTTTCTTTTTCACCAGGTTACTGACGTATTCAATACTCTGAGTCGTATTGATGACCTACGTGATCGGATTTTAATTGTTTTATCTTCTATGGATCATAAATTTCATTTCCTTTATAATGATATATCGCAAGGTATATCATTATAAAGGAACGCCATTTAAAATATTTTAGTAAGGGTAGTTCTAGGTGAGATGGTGCAACATAAAACCTAAATCGACCCATTTTTGCTTAAGATCATATTTGGCAAGATTTTCGTCGATCGGTAAACTATCCTTACTGTTACTGTTACTGTAAAGGTAATATGTGTATGAAATAAATTTTCCTTAAATTACGTTCAAAAACCCTAAATTTGTACCGAAAGTCCTGTTATCTTAGTTATACTTTAAACTTTGATAAAATCAAGTTTAAATTGTAGTTTTATTTAAACATTAAATATGGTCCATGAATTCTTCCAGGTCCCTTGTCTGCAATTTCGTGAGACATGAAGCACCATCATTATTGTTGTTTCACACACAATCGACTTGAACAAACATCCTGTTAAATTTATTAATGCATTCGTTTAAGAAAAATGGTCTGAGTTAATTTAATTCGGTTTGCTGCTCGTCTCTTAATTTAACAACATTTTAAATATTATTTATGGGTTTAAAGTTCAATCCTTGCACATAAAATATTATTAGTTTAATACAGGGTGGCCCAACAAAAACGAAACAAGAGTTTTCGGGTAGCAAGGAGTGATTTTTAAAGAACTCAGACACGTCAACTTCAATTTTGAATATAAGGGATTTTTGTTAGAAAAGCAATGAGACAACATTTTGAAGTGTTTGAGTTATTATTATTTTCAAGTTACCATCAAGAAAAATTTTATCTCAGCAGCTTCATCCCTGGCCTAACTCTTTCCTCATTACTGTAAACCATTGTTAAATAAAACTGAAGTAGTTATGTGAACACGTGTATTTGCGTTTTTTTAATTACTGCTTACAACCTGAAAACTTCTCTGTTTTGTTTTTATACTCAAATAAAGATTAGTAGATACAAAAGGAGGGTTCTGGACGTCGGCCACTTCACACCTCCAGAACTCCCCTTTTGTATCTACTATGTTTTCAAATAATTCAATGAAAATATAAGGTCTTAATTATGGAGCAGGACATCTTTACAATAAAAATTCAGAACAGATACGACTCAAAATTATTCATACTATAAACCAAGAGACTTTTTAATTAGTTCTTAACTTCGAGCGAAGTAAGTTAGGTTCTCCTTAGTTTAATCACCTTATGCACACAGCATCTCTTAGGACGTTTTTTAATGAAACTTGTTCTTTTTTAAATTTTTACAATGAAAACATAATGAGCAGTAAAATTTTCCCCGAGGATTAACTATGAAAAAATTACCAATTCTTTATATTGCCTTTCAAGACGTTTATTATATCATTTTTGCATTAGATCTACTGTTTTTTAATAAAAAAATTATGAATGTTTTTTGACAAAACCTAAATCCTATAAATCATCAATGTGTGTACCTCTAAAAACAATAATATTATTCATCAAAAAGAATCAGGTATGCGCACAGTGTATTATGTAATATCAAGCAAATTTTTAAACTTATTCAAAATCGGTTAGTGGGTACTTTGTTATCATTGATTACTGACAGTTCGGTTGTTATTGTGGTTTCTTTGGGGTT